AAGTCGAGCGCACTATTCAGATGCTTCAGGACATGTTGCGGGCTTGTGTGCTGGATTTCAAGGGTAGTTGGGATGATCATTTGTTGCTTATTGAGTTTTCATACAATAACAATTATCATTCTAGCATCAAGATGGCTCCATATGAACCCTTATATGGGCAGAAGTATAGGTGCCTGATTGGCTGGTTTGAAGTGGGCAAAGATGAGTTACTAGGGCCTGATTTGGTACAACAAGCCGTAGAGAAGGCAAGTTGATTCATGAGCAACTATTGACAGTCTAGAGTCGGTAAAAGTCTTATTCAGATGTATAGCGCCGAGATTTAGAATTTTCAGTTGATGATTGGGTATTCTTAAAGGTTTCGCCTATGAAAGGTATAATGAGATTTGGAAAGAAAGGCAAGCTTAACCCCTGGTACGTCAGACTGTATAAGATTATTCGTCGAATTGGCCAAGTATCACATGAGCTTAAGTTACCTCCTGAGTAAGAAGTAGTCCATCCAGTTTTTCATGTGTCTATGTTTTGAAAGTGTATAGGAGATCTCGCTCGCATTGCTCCTGTAGAGGATGTTCAGATTACAGAAGATCTGTCTTATGAAGAGATTCCGGTTGCCATTCTAGGTCGCCAAGTCCGAAAGTTATGAACTAAAGAAATAGCCTCCGTTAAGGTGCTATGGAGAAATAATAATGTAGACGAAATAACGTGGGAGGCTAAGGAAGAAATGAGGTCTGGATACCCTATCTATTCCGAATTGAAGGCTGTGATCATAGCAAGAATGCGATTGTCGCAGCCCACACTACAAGTCTAAACACTTGAGGTGAGTTATAGCTTAGTATATGGATTCCTTGATAGCATACGGTCGTGTGAGGCTGATGTCATGGTATATGTTATGTTATATGGCCCTGTGAGGAATGGTTGTATTTACTGGTTGCGTGGCAGGTTCTAGTCAATCCTATTTGCAGAGTAGACTATGTTGAAATTTCCGTAGGATCCTCAAAGTCACACTCCCTTAGCATAGTACCTCCACATTCGAGGATGAATATTCTTAAGGTGGGAGGATGTTACAACCCGTAGTATTACATTGATGTTATACCCCGTGATATTACGTCGATGTTACACCCCATAGTATTACGTCGATGTTACACCCCATAGTATTACGTCGATATTACACCCCACAGTATTACGTTGATGTTACACCTCGTAGTAAAAGGGGATTAAGTATAATATTACTAAGTCCAGCAAGATAGCATGTGGGATATGCACGTATAGTATTCTACATACATCATATAGATAAGAATGGAGTTTAGTAATCCATAAGTGGATTATACCTAACTTTGTCTTATGTATCCATATACTTTTGGGATAAGCATTGAATTAAATAAGTGGGTCACCTCTCCTATTTAACTTAGTCTAGCAGAAATCTAAGTCATTACTTTATATATATATATATGATTGCAAGTAGAACAATTGGGGAAAAATAAGATGAAACCTAGTTGCTGCTACGTTTTGGCTTCAAGGTTGCCGCCATCTTTTTAGCTTCATAGTTGATGCAATGTTCTTAACTCCATAGGTGTTGCTAGTTCTTCCTCCTTGAGATTATCATTCGTAAAGCGTACTGGAACTCGTGAGCTATTGTTAGCCAAGCAACAAAGGTATGTAAGGCTATTCCTTCCTTTCAAAGCATGACCACAAGTTATATGTACATTCATGTCGATATCCAAAAGAAATTTTTCTTGTAAAGTATATTCTACTCTTGGGTTGATGGTCCCTTGTCGGGGGTTCTTCTTGTATCATATCATATATTGGTTAACTAAGTCTCTTGATTTCCATATTCCTCCATAAAGGAGCGTTCTAAAAGAGTTATTCTTTAGTCGATTACAAGTCGTTTAAAAGCCAAAAAGAAGAGTTGTATGAGTTAGAGGACAAGGTGACATTACTACTATTATGTATCTATTATGTACACCACTGAGTTATAATTGGTCAGACAAGGATGTATAGAACACCCCAGACTATTACCGAAGGGCAAAAAAGTATATATTAATACCCCGGACTATTACCGAAGGGTAAGAAAGTATATTTAAACACTCTAGGCTATAACCGGAGGGCAGGAAAGTATAATAACATCCCGGGGTATAACCGGAGGGCAAGGAAGTATGTATATAATATGTATTTAAGTATGTACACAAGTTCAAGTACAATTTCCGAGCTTCATTATTCACCCTGAGTGGCTTACAGGTTATCCAGTTATTAGGTTGCCTCTATGCCCTGTTTTACGGCTTACGCTTTCATATTGATTTTCATGATTTACATACCAGTACATTTCGTTTGTACTGACACCCCTTTTGCCGGAGGCGCTGTGTTTCATGTTGTAGGTTCAGATAAAGGCCTAGATAGACCCCTCCAGTAGGACTTTGTTGAATTCAGCGATTGGATGGTAAGCTTCACTTCTTTCGGAGCTATCGAGTCTGATGTTTCGAGTTGTGTCTTAGGTATATATAGATGAAGGGTAGGTCAGGGCCCTGCCTCGACCATATGACATTTGTGTTGATCTTAGAGGCTTGTAGACTTATTTGGGTTGTCTAGATGTTGTGCATGGCCTTGTTGTTGGTCTATAAACTTGTGTTGTGGCCTTGTCGGTTTTGTATATATGTATATATGTATTGGTTTGTCTACCCTCTTTAGATTGAGATGTCCAGATGACATCTCATGTTCACGAGTTGTGGCCTTGTCGGCCTATATGTATGATGATTGTATCTCTATACAGATTATGGTTTGTTTAGGCCTTGTCTGCTAATGTTTTTATATGTTCCTGTGATTTTCTTTTTAAAGTGATACTCTCAGGAAAGGGAGGCACCGAGTGCTAGCCACACCTCCCCAGGTTGGGTGTGACAACCCTAGTCTCAAGTACATTGTGTAAATTGGTATAGAGCACGTAGTGCTTAGTTGATTACAAAAGTATGACCTCAAGCTTGAGGATTCATCAGAAATTGTTAGAGTATAAATAGTACAACAGGACATTACATACACTATCCAATTCTGCAAACTAGCGAAAAAAATTTCAATTGTTGGCATCATCACTAACAAACTGGTTTCTCTTAGGCCTGAATCTGAAGCATGGTACTCCCTCTTGATCTAACTTCACTAAGGCTCTAGCCTTTCGTGGAAGTGAAACAGCTTCACTGGATATAGTTCAAGTCTTTGATTCTTCTCCCATGTTGGCTAACTGATCCGCTACAGCCTACATTATTACCCTCGCTAAAGATGTGAATAAACTTGAAATTTCCAGCTCCACTATTCTTCCAAATTTGCTCAATAATATTATTATTTTTCGATGATGATTTCATCTTTCTGTTAATCATATTAACAATTAACATTGAATCTGATTCCACCACAACATTAAAAAAACTAACGATGCTACATAAGCTGATACCTTGCAAAATTGCTTTTGCTTCTGCAAGATTATTGCTGCACTGCCCATAAAAATCTGCAAATGCTCGCAAGAAATGACTATTATGATCCCTGATAATACCACCACCATCCACTGAGCCTAGATTACCCTTACTACTGCCATCCACATTCTGTTTGACCCATCCTAGGTCTGGTTTCCTCCGTCTAATTGCCTTTGAGTGAATGGAAAGTTTTAGTTTCTCCACAAATGTACAATTGTCATGCTAAGGTACAGGAAGTTGTAAGGAAGGGAATTAACAATTAAGGATAAAAGTTAAGCATTTTGACACTTGTTGAATAATATGCCAGGCAGACATGGTTCTATTATCAAATCTAGATGAACACCTGCTCCTCCAGATTTCCCAACAAATGACTAATGGTAAGCATTAAAGTAGAGTTGAATGAACTTCATTTCTACCTTTAGCTGACCACCAATTCATAGCTCTCTGCCTCAAATGGCCATTAGTTACTTTCATGCCACAAGAATTACAGAAAAAGGATCACACTTGTCTTGCTATGTGGCTATCACTGAACAAGTGAGAAATAGTTTCTTCTTCATGCTAATTGCAACAGTTGCATATGGAAGGAATCATAATTCCAAACTTCTTGATAGCATCATCTGTTGGAACTCTAGCTTGTAACAATCTCATCATGAAAAAGGAGATAAAAGGAACCTTCTTGTGCCAAATCTTGTTGTTAGACAAAGTTACTCCATTCTTTTTCCTAACAATTTGCCATGCAGACTTACAACTGAAGACCCCTATGCTTTCAGGTATCCAATATGGACAATCCATTATATCTTCATTGATCTCACCTTTCTAAACACTATTGACCACATTAACTTGGAGCCTGTCCAATAGTTTCTCAGTCAACCAGGTTCTTTCACTGAAGAACTCTTTCACTTTGACATTTTTGGATCTATTTATGTCCTGATCCAAATTAGCTAAAGGCCCAAGGCCAGACCAATTATCCCACCAAAAGGACACCTCTCCACTTCCATGTTTCCAGAAAATGAGTGGTTCAGCCTCCTCTTTGATGTCCATGAGCCTCTTCCAGGTATGTGATTGCCCATATGTCCACTTCTTAGCCACCGGATGAAATATTTTGCAATACTTAGCCTCCAAGAATTGATTAAACAAAGTCTTTCGAGACTTAAATTTTCACCAAAGCTTGATAGCAAAAACCTTAAAAAAATCCTGTAAGGATCTGAATCCAGATCCCCCTTCGGCTGCTAGAAAGCAAAGGTCCTTCCAAGATTTCCAGTACCTTTTTTTTTATTATTCGCATCCTTCCCCTATAAAAAAAATAAGCAATAATTCTCTCAATTTGTGAAATTACTGTTCTCTGGGGGGGGGGGGGGATGAGGTTAACAACAGACAACAAATGTAGAGGCAATGCATGTAGAACGGATTTGATTAAAACTGCCTTCCCTCCATAAGAGAGAAGTCTGCCTTGCCATCCTTGCAATCTTTTGGCAACCTTAGCCACCATGCTGTTAAAATATACTACCTTTTCCTACCCACATATATTGGACACTCAACGTATTGCATAGGAAATTAACACTGAGATAAGCCTGTGATTATCCTAATGTCATTCATAGTTGGCGCAACATCATGCAAGGTGACATAAAAGCCAGATTTCTCTTTATTCACTAGCTGGCCTGACACTTGTTCATATACCCTTGGATTTGTCATCATCTGTCTCAAATACGCATAATCACAAGAGGAGAAAAGGATGGTGTCAGCTGCATAATATAGATGAGTAACATGTGGCCCATTCTTATTTGCAGAGTATGATATAAAGTTTGATTCCAGTAGACTATCAATCAACCTGGATAGAATCTCTGCCCCAATAACAAATAACGAGGGAGAAAGAGGATCCCCTTGCTTGATTCCTCTGCTAGATTTAAAGAAACCATATCTAACACCATTAATATTGATAGAATACCAAACATTAGACATCAGCCTCCAAACACTCTCAATCCAACATTCAGAAAATCCCATCTCCCTGAGAACATGAAACAGATACTCCCAAGAGACCCCGTCATATGCTTTAGTCATGTGTAACTTCAATACAAAATTACCACGTGGAGATGGTTTTGTTATATTGTGAACTATATCCTGTGTCATCATGATATTGTCTGTGATTGACCTTCCTTTAATGAACCCTATTTGATTGGGGGATGTAAGCTTCTGTATTAAAGGAGTTAATCTCTGATTCATTAGTTTGGAAATAATCTTGTATGAAAAGTTGCTAAGACTTATAGGTCTTAGCTCACCGAAAGACTGTAGGCACTCAACCTTAGGCAATAGATAAGGCATGTATGAGTAATTGCCTTAGGAATCTGATTACCCGCAAAAAAGTCAAGAATCATTAGCATTAGATCCTCCTTGATGATCTCCCAACATGCATGGTAGAACTTCCCAGATACTCCATCAGGCCCTGGGGTACTCTATGAGCTCATTAATAACACCACTCCTTTCAATTCCTCCATCGTAGGGACTGCATTTAGCATCACGTTATTTGCCTCGTCAATGAGTTTACGAATACAATTGAGAGCTGAGAAGTTATTAACATAACTATCTTTTGTGAACTGTTTTTGGAAAAAGGAGACAGCCTCCTTTGCAATCTCTTTTTCCTCTTCAATCCAGTTTCCATCATCCCTCCTCATCTTCTTTAAAGATAATCTTTTCTTCCTTCCTTTAACTATAGAATGAAAAAACCTTGAGTTCACCTCACCCTCCACAAACCATTTCACCGCAGATTTTTGTTTCCAGAATGATTCTTCCTTCTTATATGCCCTAATCAGGAGAGCATTTGCATGATTTAATTCAACTTGAGATGGAACCTCCACATTGGAGATCCTTGTACTTCTACATTCCAAACACCTTCAACCACCACATTGAAATCTGGTTCTTTAGCCCTTAGATCTAAAAACCTGAAAAACATAATAGGTTCTCTTAAATACCGCGGTTATCACAACACATAAAAGGATTTTTTTGAGTTATATATATTTTCAAGTTTTAAATGTGTCACGCATTTGTTAACTTCTATATTTATACAAGTTTGTACATATGGGACTTAACGTTTTCCAAATCCCAAAAATAAAAAACAAAAAACTTTCAACGCAAGCTGACTACAAATATATGTATCAGAATTTAATGGCATACCATAATTTTTTAGTGAATCTGATTGTTCAGATTTGATATCCAATCCGATTAACTGTGATGACCCGATAGGTCATCTTGAGTTTCAGCCTTTATTTGTATATTTCGAGACCTCGATTAGCTCTGTTTAGCATTTTCCGATTTGCATGCACAGTCCGTGTCTTATTCCGGAAAGCCTTTATGTGAAAAATTGAAGAAAGTGTGAATTTTTACCTTAAAATGATTTGAGTTGACGACAATCAATATTTTGTGTAAACGGACCCGAATCGGTATTTTGACGATCTTGGTGGGTCCGTATCGTGATTCGAGACCTGGGCGTATACCCGAAATTGAATTTGGAAGTCCCTAGCTTATTTCGACGTGATTTGTTGAAAATTAGTAATATAAAGGTTTAAAGAATTCTGAAGCTTGACCATAGGTTGACTTTATAGCTACAGAGTTCAGATTTCAGTTTCGGGACTTGGTATAGGTTTATTTTACCATTTAAGACTTGTCTGCAAAATTTGGTGCAAAACATAGTTCATTTGATGTGATTCGGATGTTCGGTTGTGAATTTAAAAGTTCTCCAGTTTCTTTGAAAATTTCATGCATTTTGATGTTCGGTTGTCTTTTTTCTTTCTTTTTGTTGTTTTCGTAAGTTTAGATGTATTATTTTGGTGTTTTCATTGCGCGAGCGAGTTCGTATGAGGTTATTACGCTTGTGTGCATCTTTGGTTTGGAGCGCGAGGGGCTCGGGTGAGTTTCGGATAGGCTACGGATGATTTTGGACTTACGAAATCTGTTGGTTTTGCCGTTGCTAGTGTTTGTCATTTTGTGTTTCGCGATCGCTAAGGTACTCTCGCGATCACAAAGGGGAATCTAGGATGGGGAGGAAATTACTCGTGGCAAACATGAGGAGTTCGTCGCGAACGCGAAGTAGTGAGGGGGGGTTTACATTTCGCCAACGCGACCCTCCTTTCGCGGACGTATAGTGTTAGGGAGGGAACTGGGGAAGTGGTATGTTACTCTATGCGAACGCGAGCCCAAGCTCGCGAATGAGAAGGCCAGGGGGGACAGTCCATCGGAAACGCGTAGCGTTTCTCGCAAATGCGAAGGCCACTTGGGCCGCTGCTCTTAGCGATCGCTTCAGGCCCTTCGCAAACGTGAAGAAGGCCTAACGCCTAGTGATTTAAATATCCCAAAGTCGGGATTCAACCCATTATTCACAATTTTCAAGTTTGAACTCGGCCTAGAGGCAATTTTGAATAGGTTTTTCATCCCGACTTTATAGGTTAGTATATTTTAACTTGTTTCCTTCCATTTTCATAAACAACCATTGATTTTAACCTTTAATCTATGCTTTTTCATGGTAGAGATCAGGGATTTAGGTAGAAATTGGGGATTTTGAGAAATTGAGATTTAGACATAAAATTGAGGCCGAATTTCGAAACTAATCACATAAACGGGCTCGGGGGTGAATGGGTAGTTGGGTTTTGGTCGAGTCTCGGGTTTTGACCAAGCGAGCCCAGGGTTGACTTTTGTTGACTTTTTCCAAAAACCTTAAAGATTGAATCTTATTTACTCGTGGGTAGTTTCTAAAGCATATTTTGAATTATTTGAACTATATTTCGTTAGATTTGATTGGTTTGGAGGCTAATTCTAGAAGAAAAGCTGCGGTTGAGCCTTGATTTGGTTGCGAAGTAAGGTAAGTGTCGTGGTTTACCTTCACTTGACGGATTAAGACTTGTTAGTCTAATTACGTGTTTTATGTGGGGGAACAACGTATATGTGAGGTGACGAGTACTTATACGTTAAAATTGGGTTAAAGCATTCGGCCAGAACTTGTTTCTTCGTATCATATTGCTTTGATAATTATGAAATCCATGCTTAGGTTAGATTATTGCTTCTTTGATTATCCGTTTCATAATTATTGCTTATTTCAAGTTGTTGAATATTTTTGGAAGTTGAAGTTTGGTATTATGGAACCATATTTGAAGTTAAATCTACTCTTCGCATCGTTACTCTTCGAATTCATATTATCATTATCATATGGTGAGGAAGAGAGTAAAAGCACGAAGGGTGATACCGTGCCATTTTATTTACATTGTCATTATTACATGGTGAGGAATAAAGTAAAAGCACGAAGGGTATGCTGTGCCATTTCATCTACATTATCATTATTACATGGTGAGGAAGAGAGTAAAAGCACGAAGGGTGATGTCGTGCCATTTCATTCATTTTATTATTATATAGTGAGGATGAGTAAAAGTACGAAGGTTAATGCCGTGCCATTTTATTCATATTATTGCATTGTGAGGACGAGAGTAAAAGTAGGAAGGGTGATGCCGTGACATTTCCATATCACTAGTTTGACTTATTTCTCTCGGTTTGGTGTATTACATGGCTATTTTGTGATTTCATACATGTCGTAGTTGTTATATTTTCCCCTTTTTGCATGTCCCCTCCCAGTTTATGTGATATCATTCTCTGTTAGTATTGCTGCTTTAAATAACCTTGTACAGGTTTATTTACGTAGATGCCTTTTGTCATAGCCTCGTCACTAACTTGTCGAGGTTAGGCTCGACACTTATGAAGTACATTGTGCCAGTTGTACACATAATATACTGTTGTAATCCTTGTGCAGATACTGGTATTGTTCCTAGAGGTGCTTAGTAGCTTCTTCTCGGATTCAGTCGTTGTCGGAGACTTGAGGTATAGCTGCACAGCGTCCGCAGCCCTGAGGTCCCCTTCCCTAATATCCTTACTGTTTTATTGAGTTTCAAAACAGTTGTATTTTGTTCAAACCTTGTTTGTAGCACTCTAGATGTCCATGTACTCGTGACTCCAGGTTTTGAGTTATGTTTAGACTTTGTTGTTCGGTATTATTTTACTCTACCTTAGACACATATCGTTATCATTATTAATATTTTATTTTTAATTGTTAAAATCACTTAATTTTTTGCTTCACGTCGGCTTGCCAAGTAATTAGATGTTAGGCGCCATCATGACCTCGAGTTTGGGATTCTGGGTCGTGACAGTTGGTATTCGAGCACTAGGTTGCTTAGGTCTCGTGAGTCATGAGCAAGCTTAGTAGAGTATGGAGGATCGTTACAGAGACGTCGGTACTTATCTTCCAGAGGCTATAGAGTTTTAGGAAAATTTCACTTCTTTCTTTCCTTATTGTGCGATTTTGTTCTATCACTGATATTTGAATCATTTCATTCTTGTCCTCTCGCAGATATTGAGGACACGCACAGCATCTACAGTCGGGCAGGAGCCGTATCCCCCAATTACAGCTACTACCTGGGGTAGAGGTCGAGCCAGAGGTAGGGCTCAGCCTAGAGCTCATGCAGCAGCACCCACAGTGGAGCCTTAGATTAATCATGAGGATGATATCCCAGCTCATACCGTACTAGTTGGACTATCTCAGGTCCTTGAGGGATTCATAGCCACTCTAGTGCTTCAGGACGTTCTAGTCCACTTGATGGGCCTTCTGGAGAGTGTGGCCTAGACCGGTGCATTTCTGGTGGAACCAACAGTTTCTCAGGCTGGGGGAGGAGCACAGACTCCTGCTACTCACACTTTGGAGCAGATGGATCCCCTATATTAGACTCCAGCAGCCTAGCCAGTTGGGGTAGTTTAGCTAGTTGTTGTGGCACAGACCGGGAGAGGCCCGCGATGTCTACAAAGGGATTGATGAAATTGGACAAGTTCACAAATCCTTTCCCTATTCACTTTAGTGGTGCACCCTCTGAGGACCCATAGGATTACTTGGACCGTTGCTACGAGGTGTTGCACAACATGGGTATTGTTGAAACCAATGGGGTCGACTTTGTAGTGTTCCAGATGATCGGTTCTGCTAAGAGATGGTGGAGAGATTATGTATTGACCAGACCAGCTGGTTCACCTTCACTTACCTGGGATAAGTTTTCACAGCTATTTCTAGAAAAGTTCATTCCTTTCACTCCGAGAGAGGAGTATCGCAGGCAGTTCGAGTGACTTCAGCAGGGTAACATGACTGTTACCCAGTATGAGACCCGATTTATGGACCTAGCTCGCCATGCAATTATTTTACTCCCCACTGAGAGGGACATAGTGAGGAGATTCGTTGATGAACTCACTTTCAGTATTAGGCTACAGATGGTCAAGGAGACCAGAGATGATATTTCTTTCTAGATGGCAGTAGAGATTGCTAGACGGATCGACATGGTTCTTGGTCAGGAGTGGGGGCCGGTGTCTGATAAGAGGCCTCGTCATTTTGGTGGTTCTTGATCAGGAGTGGGTACTTTTGGTAGAGGCCATCCTCCTAAGCCATTTCAGTCAGCGCTTCAGGGATCCCACGGTGCTTCGGGTAGTCATAGTCCTTATGTATCTCATCCTGAGCAGCTAGCCTAGAGTGCACCATCAGCTCCTATTAGTGCACACCTTCGATCCAGAGTTATCAGAGTGGTTATCCAGGTCAACAGGGCCAATTCCAAGGTCAGCAGTCACAGCAGCCAAGGACTTTTTATACTTGTGAAGATCTGAGACACCTCTCTAGATTTTGCCGCAAGTCATAGGGCGGCATCCCACAATAGGGTTCTCGTGCCATGGTTCCGGCACCGGTTGCTTTACCGCCCGTTCAGCTAACTAGTGTCACGCCCCAAAATCACTCCGAATGAGTCGTGATGGAACCTAGTAGCTAAGACTAGGTAAGCCTAAAATTAACAGAAATAACGACAATATTTACTAACTTCGAACAATTCCGAAATAGAAATCTCTAAACAATTTATAATCCCAAAACTGGTAGTACTAGTCATAAAC